TTGATTGGATACGTTCATAGTGTGCTATTTCATAATGGCGAGGCAATTGTCCCGTGACTCGCCCCCACACACCTCCACAATATGGAGGTACGGTACCGCGACGGTAGCAAAACATTCTTGGCCTGAGCGCCTCTACGGAAGACACATCCGTCTATTTGGAAGCCAATATTCTTCCGCTCCGGAAGATACTCGGGCGTCGTGCACTCACACAATACGGACGCCATGTACGCCTCCATGATCACGAGGATTTGCGTTCCCTTATCTACTCGGAACCTATGCCGCCGTCCATGCATGGGAAAGCGGCGACATCAATCCCGCTTCCGAGAGATGCTGCTATTAATGGATTGCTACGCGTCTGTGACATTATTGGGACACCCCACAACCACAATCGCGCGCCTCTTGCCCAACATCGAATTTTTCCCTGGGACACTGTGAGCTGCAGCGGGGTGAGATTTTATCAGCCACTGTTTGCCGAAGACGCCTCTGACGATGTCGGGCGCACGGCTTTTTATTCTACTCACTCCTCTTTGGGGGATTGTGATTTTGAATTGTGGACGGACGGTCCTTCATACCTCGCTGCACTCGCGTCTGGATCCGCCGCGCTATTGTATGACTCCACCACGACAAATGATCTCCCTGTGGAGGTACATCGTGCAGCAGCTGGCAGCCTCGCATGCTCATATGGGGCAGACTGCCTTGCGATCGAAAATGTTTTTAGACATCTCGTACCTCCTTGTCCGGGAACATCCCAATCGCCCACACGAATGCTGGAGGAAACGGACTCCCTCTCGGCAATGTAGGCACCCCGCGTTGTCCACCGACCGTGCGAGACCGCGTTACTGAGCAAATTTGGATTATGCTGCTTTCCTTGGTGACGCGAGGTCACCCTGTGGATTTTATATTTTCCCATCACACTGCGGTATTCCACGCAGTGAGGCCGCTGACAAGCAGGCCACGATTGCACGATTCCTCTCGCAGGACTGCGTCAATGCCTGGCACGTGGACTTCCTTACCGCCGTCAAGAGGTTATAATGGAAGGATGCCCAGGAGGAAAAGGAAGGCGCGCACACCGCGTGACAGGCGCCTGTCGGTGTGGCGAGGACTCTATTCCTGGTGTTGACCCGGACATCGGTCCCCGAGTGGCGGCACTGCGCACAGGCGCGATGCGACGCCTGCCCACTCTTCGACAGGCCTGCACGCGCCCTGCGGATCACAAGGAACCCTCTGTGTCGGTGGTGCCGTCCCTCCCTCACTGCGGTGGCCGGCCCGCCTCGGCCTCCGCCGGAACCTCTTCCCGACGTGAGCACCACAACTCCTTGTCGACCAGCGAGCGGCGGATTGACGTCCTCCTGCCCAACCTGCGGCAGAGTGCACTTGTCCGTCCACAGTATGAGGGCACATGCCGGACGTGCTCAGCCTGGCGTTATAATAGTTTGCGAGGGCCTCCCATGCGGATGCCACAATGGCGCCACCGTCTTCTTAACAGGTGCCTCGCGCGCAGTTCGTCACTATCGAAAATGCCAAGCGTATCAACAAGTCAAACACGAACAACGCAACTCTGCAAGCACCAATGGCAACCATAACCCTTCAGGCACTACTCTACCGCAAGCCCCTGCCAGCCGCTGAGCCGCCTGACGGTCCACGGGAAACTCTATCGCACATGTTGTGGGAATGCCCTCGTCGTAGACCACTGAGCATTCGAATCTTCGGAGAAAATCTATGTCGCATGACAGCGTTATTCGAGAAGGGAAAGTTGGCCACGTTTCGACGGACAGCCCTCGGGCGATCAATGAATAGCGACAATGTCGTATAACAAAATAAATAAATAAATAAAAAATAATTTTATTCTGTGTTTTATCGATGCTTTTACTGTTTTCTTTGCTCTCCACAATTATGGGTTGCACTGATGCTTCTCTAAACCTAACCTTTGCACAACACCTAAATGCCACGGAGGAACACCGCACGGAAGCAGGCAGTGGGCGCAACCAAAAAAAAGCATAACAACACAACAAACAGATATCGCAATGCGAAACAAAAAGGCACGGAAACGTCACGTACGGAGCGGAACAGGCACTAGTTGTGTGCGCGGCGGCTGCCGACATCCTCGCTGTCCTCTTCTCCCGCCTCACTCCTTTCTCCCCCGGTGTGGGCGAGCGGCTCGCGGTGACGCACGGAGGGTCCGCTTGCTATTAAAGGGGTTGGCGGGCACGGTCTCGTGGAGGTTGTTGGGCTGGGCGGCATCAGCGTCACCATCTAACGATTTCCCCGTTGGCTCGTCAGGGGCGCGCTCAGATTTCCCGAGTTACATACATAAGAAGCTCCTCATCACGTGCTGCCGCGGTGCGAAAAGACCGCCCATTTCACATGCGCACAACGCCCGCTCAACCACAATCACGTGACTCAGTTTACGGCCACAAACGAGCAACAAAGGACACATCAAAGAGACCCAAGCCAAATACAATAACAAAAATAGAGGCCTCTAACAGCTTCAAGCGCACACGCAGTACACGTCCATTGCCCTCTTCATCCACCCCGTTGTGGCAGGTCAGCGAACAAAGTATGATCCTTGTTTTTGAACCTTCGTTTTGCACGTAGTTGATTCTCATTGCTCGCAGATACAATCTTTTCCCTTCTTATTTACATTCCTTTCCCGACGCCCCCGCCAAGCCCGTTGTTGTTTCCTTTCGAAATTTTTCCTCCGGCAGCTTCAGTGTGCTGGGATGTAAGCAACGAGGTCCAGCACCTTGTTGGGAGTACCCGGTCCCGTCGTCGCACCATGAGGCGAGCTTCGCGAAGCGATCGTTTAGAGAAATGCCGGCCTTGACGGCAAAGACGGACATCGGCGCGACGCCGTTCATGTCGCTGGAAACAACCTCGCCCTCCGTGCGGCCAAGAAAACTCTTCAGCTTCCCCTCGGAGGCTGCATCGGTGGCGACGCGGAGCTGCTCGTATGCCGCCGGCTTCTCCGGACGCGTGGTGAGGTCGACAACCGACACGTTTGGAGTCGGCACACGGAACGCCATGCCGGCCAGCCTGCCGTTCGGCGCGGGAATGCCTTTCTCGACCGCCTTGGCCGCTCCGGTGGCGGACGGAACGATTTTCCGCGTCGCACCGCGACCGCCGCGCCATTCTTTGAGCGACGGACCGTCCGCTGTTTGTTGCGACGCCATGGTGGCACGCGCTGTGGTCATGAGACTCTCAACGGCGCCGAATCTTTCATGAGCGATCCTCGCGGGCGGCGCAAGGCGGTTCCTTGCACACGGGACGTTGGAAGCGATTTGCCGTCCCTTGCGAATCGTGTCGTTCACACCCACGAAAGGCATGGTCGTGTCGTCTCTCGGCTGGCCTGTCATGACGGTTTTTTCGCGCCGGCCTGGGCGTGCCCGCGGGCGGTCCCAGCGGTGAGGAAGAGACCAGCCAACTCGAGCGCGGCCGCCGTGTCGGTCTCATCCCGCCCGAGATTGGCGTGGCCGCGCTCACTCGTCACGAGGGTCTTCTCTCCGTTGGTGGAAAGAGCGCCTTCCCGCGCCGCCAACGCATATCGGAGCGCGCCCCGCAACGCCAGCGACGTTCCCGCAGGAGCGGCGCGCCTGACGCGGAGGCCGCGGCGAAAAACACACGTGGGGGCCGGCGTTGCGCGTATCACGGTCGATTGCCGGGCCTGTCGGGCAGGGGCGACACCGCCAGTCACCTCCGCGCCGCCCAGGGTCGTGTGGGCGGACCGGGCGGCATACCATTCGGAGGCCTCCAGCACAAAGCGAAGAGCCCAACGGGAGACCGCCGTGGCGTGGTGTCGGGGCCTCTTCCCGCATTCCCGGGGAAGCCGGGAGCCAGCAGTGTTTCCCTCGCGGGGCTGCGCTGTTGCCGCGCAGGTCCGAGTAGTAGGGCGTACGTGCTTCACAATGCTGGCTGGCGTGCGGGCCGTCGTATTTGTTCAAGAATACTGCGCTATCGGCGCCTGCCTTTGCGAATCCTAACTCCTTTCGGGGTGGGGTGGCGGAATAGGAAAAGAGGCGGTGTCGGAGGCTGTGAGAATGGACGACAAAAGGGGACCGACACGCGGAATTACTCAAAAAAGAACGAATAAAATAGAATAATAAAAGCAGAATCAGCCACCTCCGGAAAGCAGATGGCGAATCGTGATGGGCTTTCCAGACGGAAGCGCGACTGCTTTCAGCTTTGCCAATGTCCGTTCTAATTCTTCGAAAGGGTCGCCGCTCACCGCTGAGAGTATACTTTTCAGGTAATTCAGGTCGGTTGTCAATTGCTCAACGGCGGCGGCCTCTTTTTTCGCCGCGTCCGGCGCACCGCTGGGGAAGCAAATTGTGATGTTGCCCACCTTGTTTTCAATAAAGTCCGCCACGGCAGTTCGCACAATGTCTTCCAGCCAATTCCCGGCCACCTCCTCCAAAAGGTCTTCGATGCCGTTAGGGCGGCCGTCGCCATCGCCGCGTAGCGCTTCCAGGGCCAGCGGTATTTCAACAATGGCCTCACCAAGTGCTCGAACCAACTCACTTGGCGCAATCTGGGCGGGTGTGTAAGAGGCGGGCGGCGACATACCCGAAGCAGCGTCTTCTTCATTTTGTTTCGAACCCCACGAAGGCTGAGAGTCGTACCCGTTAGCCTTCGCGACGACAGGCTCAATGATTGTGCGCTTCGCCGCTCGCTGGCACTCTGCCGTGCAGTCGTCGAGGGCCTCCGTCAGCGGTGCCCAAAGCTGGGTGCGAAGTTGGTCGTTGACAGCATCCGCCAAACTCGGGTATAGTCGCTGCAACTCGGGTGAATTTAGATACTCCGAGGTCGCTTTCGCCGCGTTTTGGAGAAGCTGCCAAACCACTGAGCGAGCGGACGATAAATTTCCAAGCAAAATCCCCTGCGGCGTCTTTGGTGTCGGCCGTAGGCGAGATATCATCTCGAGAAGGGCCTCACGCCATTTTCCAATGCACATTGGAAGTGTCTTCTCCGGGAAAAAGCGCACAATGCGTTTGACGGCATCGATCACTACATCCATTACCGCCTGAAACTGCTCCCGCCGCAGTGTATGCTTTGGAGCGCCCACAATAATATCCGCAACAAGAGATGCCTCTCGTTGCGCAAACGCCTCCAGCAGACTGGCTTTACCAAACCGTCCGACCATCTCTGAAAAGGCATATGTTGTAACCTGCCTTGCGAGTTTCTCTCGCAACGGGTCGCTGCTGCCAACCGCATTATTATGACCGCCGCCCATGGGCCCAACTCCGAGAACATGAGTACCAATGTCCTCTTCCAACTTCAGCTGCCGTACCGCGTCATAGCAGGCAATCAATTCCTCATTTCGTTCCACACGTTCCAAGATCGGCCCCAACGCGTACGCGATGCTTCCAGTCACCTCGTCCACAATAAACCGCATCAATTTCACAGTAAGTGCTTCTGCATCATGCGGCTTAGCAGCATTCTTTTCCATTGGCAAGGTATCCGCGTTTGCACCACCCTCGAGCTGGACCATGCGCAAAAGGTAATCTAACTGGTCCGAAATCGCATACCCGATGGACGGCATCAACTGACTCTTCAGCAATTCCGCAGCGCGGGCAGGGGAGATGGTGGCCCCAGAAGTGCTTCCAATTAACATTCGCTCCACGCGTTCCTTCTCATTTGCCATGCTCTCCACGGAATACTGCTGAAGAACCGCCTCCGCACGACCAATTGTTTCAAGTATTTTGAGAAGTTGAACCGCGCGGTCGACCTCACGCCGTCGTAGCACATCCATACATTCCACCTCAACAGCATGCTGAACAATCGGCTCATACCTTTCCACCGCCTCAAGCTGCTTTTCCCCAAATGTCACTTCCAACTTCCGCAGCTCCGCCAAATTGCGCCGAACTTCACCGATAGCCCCTGCTACCGCATCCATGTCCACTTCTGATGGGGATATGCGCAGCTGTTGCATGAGGTCATCAAGCTGCTTCATGCTACTTTCCACCTGTGAAGCTTTTCGAAGTGTGTCGGAACATCGAGTCAGCTTCTCTTGTGTTTTTTTGAATGCATTCAGCTGCGAGAAGTAAGGCTTTGCGGCCGCCTCCACTGCTGACTGTGCCACTTCTTGTATGCTCTGCATCTGCGACTGTAGTTGTTGCGCTTCCGTGGCCATTCGTCCAACTTCCAGTCCAGTTCGCGGTAAACGTACGAGCGCCTGGGCGATGGTGTCCTCCACTGAGCCAGACACCTCCTGCAAATGGCTTTGTAACCGATTAAAAAGCTTCGTGACACAAGCCTCCACATCTGCTTCGCTCTCCGCCGTTTTTCCCTCCGCACATAGCAGTCCCTGGAGTGTGGTGTTAATCCAGCGTTTGATGTCTACATGTTCACTGGCAAGCTGATCAAGGCGCAGCTCTGCCACCTCGGCCGCATTGGCGGCCTCCATGGAAGTATGCATGTGGACTGCACTGCTGCAATATAATTTTGTTTTTTTCCTTCTTTTTCTTTTTTCCTTTTTTTTTTTCTAATTGCTTTTTTTTTCTTTTCCTTTTTCTTTCTTTTTTCTCCTTTCTTCTCTGCGCATGTTAAATGACGTTACCAAAACCGCCAAAAAATGACGGCGCGAAGAAATTAAATAGAACACAGTAGATTATCCAAGACACACACACACACACACAGAGAGAGAGAGAGAGAGAGAACAGTAACATCCGTAGCAGGGCCAACAACCCAATGCCCTCTCCTTCTCTATGTGTGGGTATGTTTGCTCTGGATGATTATTTTATGATTGATCGTCGCACACCCCCTCCTTTTTTACTTTTTACCTTGTTTTTCTTCCTCGCTATGCACACACTATTTATTTTCACGTCCGTGATGCAAAAAAAAAAAAAAAAAGGGGGTAAAGGACACGGCTGGAAACTCCGGTCTCAGCATATAAACGACTTCACTCCCCACGTGCGCAGTGCAGCCAAGACGCGGCTCTGGCAAATGTTGAAGATCGGGTTCAATGGAGAGAGTCGCTCCTGGCTTCTGTAGCAACCACAACCAACGCCTCTGTTACTGTTGTGGACTGCAAGCACAATCTCGTAGTCATCACGCTCGTTTGGGATGTAACCACGACGAAGCGCCGTGGCGTACATCAACGTTTCATTTGTACAGCTGCGAGGCAGGTACTGCAGGTTCTGCGCCGTACTCATCCCAGAGAGGGAGTAACATGTGTGGTAGGCGTCGTTCAGGCACCCTGGCTTGTCCATGAGCCCGCCCATCTCTTTATCCTGGCAGCAAGAAAGCACGTAGAGCAGCAGACGTCGTTGATTGAAGTAGAAGTCCCCCACATCTTCGTCTAGAAAGGATTGGGTCGCCGTCTGCTGCTTCCATGTGGAATGCGACGGTGCATGGAGATACGCCTCCACATGTGCTGTTCGCTGTCGATGAATTTCCTCGGCGTGGCGCCATGCGTCATCGTCCATAGGACACATAGACGTCGTGTCGATCAGCTGCGCATGATCGAGCAGTAGAGCTTCACGTGCCGTGAGGCACCGCGGTGTCTCAGTCTGTCCAAGAAGACGCATGTACGATTCACCCACCCGCAAGAGCATGTGGGACGCACCCACCCAGTACGAATAGCATGAGTCCACAAGTTTGTTGGTTCTTCCATTGAAACCGCCCTCGAATTTCAACTGCCTTGCTGATAACCACCGCCGCAACGCTGCGTATTTGCAAAGATGCGGGTAACGCATCAGTATTAAGGCAGCAAGACCACACTGTGTGTAGGCTCCGTGAGCCTCCGATGCGTTTAACCCACACGCAAATCCTCCCTCATGTGTCTGACATGACGCCACAAAAGCTGCTGTTTGTTCTGTAAGTACCGTGTCGTCCCGTCCGTCCGTATACGCGGGAACGTCATTGAGCTGAAGCAACACCGTCATGACCGCCACACAGTACGATGCACGAATGTCCGCCTCGCCACCGGTGTGCATGCAGAAGCTTCCATCCTTGCAACGTAGCGAGAGTAGCCAACGCTTTATGGCAGCACGGGGAAGGGCACGGAGGTACGTTGTCCTCGGCAAAATGCAAAGCGAGCACAGTGCAGCGTAGGATGCGGCCAAATGCGGTATTTGCGCAAGCTGTCCACCTGCAAATCCAACAAGACGCTTTCCATCATCGTTATCGTCATCGAAAATGCTTACGGGATTTCGTAATAACACAGACTCCTGTTGTTCATCCATATCCATTGGATTATTCCTCATATCATCATCGTTGCTGGTACCACTTTTCTTCACCTCCTGTAAACAGCCAAGAATAAAGTTACCGAGCGCATCAGGGGAGACGTGTTCATAGAGTTTCTCCGTGATATCAAGCATATCCGCGGCCTGCAGGGCCCAAAACGCAAGCCATGGCT